CAGTATTTGATGCCATAATTGCCGATTTCCACCAAATGTTGGCCTAATTTTAAGTCATGTGATGAGAATTTGGTCGAAAAACATGTCGACAAGTCTTCGGGCAGTCGTATGAGCGCGCAGTCAATCTTCCGCTCCATATAAGCCACATATCCCTCGAAATTCATATAATAAGTCGGTATTAATATAGGAGTTCCCGTCCAGTCTGTGGCAAACATGTCAACGGTTACGGGCGTCGATATGTCCGCTTCTATCACGTGAGCGCAGGTCATGACATACGCCGGTCCAGAGGTTATGATTATTCCCATTCCCGCACCAAAACACATTTCATTATCATAGGCTCTGGAGTATGCATAAGCCCTGATGTATACAATACTATTGACGGCTTCCTTATAGACATCTTTGACGGCTTCGTCGGTGTCTTTCATGCGAACCATTCGGAGCCCAAACTCACGGCGAGTATCGATGTTTGCCTTCAATTGTTTCCCGAGTTTTGTGTCTTTTGTGCCAATAATTGGCATCAATTGTCGAACAAATGCCTGTCATTAGCGGTGTTTTGCTAATCGTTTGTCTCAATAGTCGATACATTACTGCAGAATATTCTGTGTCTGAATCCAATCAAAGACTAATACTTTCTCTAATAATCTCTGAGTTTTTAAATCTTACGAATGAATGCAACTGAAAGTGAAATGATATTTCAATTAACATTAACGTTACAATAATATTGTATATCGCGATAATACAAACAAATTACCAACATTTTCAAAGTACTACCGTATTTATGCCATTATTATGCACTCACTAACTAAACCACAATTTTTTCCGCAAACTTTAGTTATACCTTTCGGTCATTTATTAAAATTATAGTGAATTCTGTATTAAAATATGGCAAACGTATGACTACTTCATAAATTCACTGTTATTTGAGTATACAATCAGTTATTTAAAGATAAAACTCTATATAAAACTCATTACATAATTGTAATCATAAATAAACCTAAAATACATTACAAAAAATCATACAATCATTAAATAAACACAAAATTTACACAAAAATCACTAATCAATGGCTGTATTCACGCAATCGGTGTTCACTACAAGCCCTACAAAAATCACACACTTTTGCCATTAATAGACCGGAACTCATGTCTCGGTATGCGTTGAAAAAACAGTAGACCCGCCGCGCGCTCCACCGTATCGATGGGCACCCGAAACGACTCTAAGGCCGTCCTATCGTCCACCGCCTGATTGGGCAACACATAGGCCTCCATATCGTAAGCGCCGGCAGTTTCCCACACGACTACCTTAAAGAAATGCGTGGGCACTGACACGTGATTCCTACCGATCACCTCGTACTTCACGTACAGTTTGCCATCCCGGGGCTCGCGGGCCGGCAGGTATAGCGGGCCGGTGCACACCCACAGGTTGTCCGACCTCCTGGCCCTCCAGCGCACGTACTTCTCCAACCGGTTCCACACATCCCTATTGAACCCTTTGCCCACTTGCGGCGCTATGTTGGACAGTATGAACGTCTGGGCTATCAGTGCCCGATCGCGCCGGTGGTTCCCGGCGGCCGCCAAGTGGCCCCTATCGTAGCCGCTGCGGTGGTAGTCCTGGTTCGTGGAGCGCCAGTAGTCGTGCACCACGTGGTCCTCGAAGAACTCGATGCCCGACCGGTCGTACGGGTGGTCGGCGTCCAGGTGCTCGCGCGACATGTGCTCCAACACCCAGTGGGCCGTCCGGTGGCGCCTGTCGTACGCGAGTATAAAGTTGTCGAACACTCGGATGGTGTCCAACGCGGGGAAGCCGTGGCGGGCGATGATATCCAGGCGCCCGCCGGACGTACCGGTGCTCTTCGAGGGCCAGTCAGTGGCGCCACTGATGGACGACTTGTTGTCGGTGGTGTCGATGATGGCGGGAGTCTTGGGATTGTCGCCCGATTTGGGATCAATTGGTTTGGCGGCGAAGACCGTGGCGTACGGTGTGGTAGACATAGTAGGAGGTGCTGGCGATCGGCCACTGGTTATGCCCGCGAGGTTGCGGTACTTCTCCACTGCGATGCCGGCGCCCACGCCTACCAGTCCCGCGATGAATGGTCTGATCATCACCGGTGGGATCAGTTGCGAGACTTAATTGCGGCGATAATTACAAGACTTTTTGTCATTTGATCTGTGTTTTTGTGGTAAAAGTGTTCGTATTTTGTAAACAAATGAAAGTATTTTTGACTTTTTATGGTAAGCATTGACTGTACGTATAGCATAGAGTAGTATAGTATTAAAAGGTCCAAAAGATTTGTTAATAGTATTGCAAATAAATTTGAAATATATTTTAAAACAACTTTTTATAATAACAATTCCTATACGATATCAACGCATTACTATTACCATTAAAGGTACCAAAACTCTCTCCCCATACATTAACATTGGAAACAAGTGAGCCAATAGGGAACGCGTATTCATAGCAACCGACGAGCTGTGAGCCAATCAGCGTACGAGTTATCACTCATTCAAATGGTTTCACAGTTTGTTTTGCCATTCAATGAGAAACACATTTTCAAAACACAATTCAATGTGAGTTTACTCTTCAGTTATCACACCATTCATCTGATCCGCAGATAATCGCAAGACATGGACGACGACATGGACTCATCGATGGCTGAATGGCTCGACTTAACCACTGATGACATGTATGTATCGCACGAATAGTCTGTTTTGCAGACAATTACCGCCAAAACACATGTCACCACCAATTGGTCCCAAAACAAACTCTTTGAAAACTAATCCGCCACTTCTTTGACACTATTAGTCACTTCGAGGATAACTATTGCTGCGAAGAGGAGGGCATCTTCTGGGGTGTGGTGACCGACGCTGAGCGCCAGTATCGCGACAAATGGCGGCAACAGATCATCACTGATGGCGATCACAACATCACCGCCGATGACGGCGCCATCAACTTATCCCTCGACATGACGTCAATGACTGCCCGCATGTCTGACGACAACAACTACTCGTTGATAGTGTCGCCGATGGGCTCGCAGTCCACTAACGCCTGTATCGTTGATATCGGTTCCCATGAGTTGATGGTCACCGACGCTGTCGATGACTACCCGTCCGACCACTCGATGATATCCACGGATCCCGCGTTCCTATTGGCCACGAGCGCCGGTCACGTGTCGATCAATGATAACTCGCTGTTTGTGTCGTCCATTGGCACCCAATCGAGCGCTGGAAGCGTTGCCGAGACTCCCGTCAAAGACGTGATGGACGTAATAGCCGCCGATGTCGAGTCGATAGGCTCGCAGTCGTTCGTTGGATCCGTTTATGAGACTTCTGTCAAAGAAGTAGATGTCGTGAACGCGACTAATGTCTCATCCGTGGCCTCCAAGTCATTCGCGGGAACTGTTTGTGAGACACCTTTTAAAGGCATGAATGTCACGGAACTACTCTCAAAGACTATCACCGGATCTGCTTCCGAGACACCCTTTAAAGGCATGGATGTCACGGCACTGCTCTCGAAGACTATCACCGAAACTGCTTCTGAGACACCCTTTAAAAGCATGGATGTCACAGCACTGCTCTCTAAGACTATCACCGGATCTGCTTCTGAGACACCCTTTAAAGGCATGGATGTCACAGCACTGCTCTCGAAGACTATCGCTGAGAGTGTTTGTGAGACTCCGGCCAAAGAAGTGGAAGCCATGACAGACGATATCTCATCAATGGCTTCGCAACCAATCGCTGGAAGTGTTTACGAGACGTACGCCAAAGAAGCAGATGTGATGAACGCGACTAATGTCTCATCAATGGTCTCACAGTTCTTTGAAAGCGTTTCCAAGACTCCCGTTAAACACCACGAAGTGATAGCAACCAATGTCTCGACTATCGTCTCCCAGTCTTTTGCTGGAACTGCTTCTGAGACAACCGCCGAAGAAGTGGACATAACTACAGATAATGTCTCAGCGATGGGCTCGCAGTCTGTGTTCGTGTCGGACACACCTCTCAAAGACGTGGAGATAATTGCCGACAATGTGTCAACACTTGCCTCGCAATCCTTCGCCATTGGAAGTGTTTACGAGACGTCTGCTCAAGAAGTCGATGACCTGAACGCGTCTAATGTCTCGTCGATGGTCTCGCAGTCATTTGAATATATCTCTGGAACTGCTGCCCAAGAATCTGAAGCAATGACGCCCAATGTCTCGGCCATAGCCTCTCATTCATACGCCAAACCTATTGCCAAAACTGCCGCCAAAGAAGTGGAAGCGACTGATGTCTCAACCATAGGCTTACAGTCGTTCTTTGGAAGCGTTTCTGAAACACCCGCCAAACAAGTGGATGACATGAACGACAGCAATATCTCATCGATGATCTCGCAGTCATTCTTCGAGTGCAGAGCTAAGACTCCGAGCAAAGTGATTGACGTAATGACAGATAATATCTCATCGATGGTCTACGAGTCTATCGCAGAGATTAAAGCCATGACTCCCATCGCAGACGTGAGCGACACTAATACCTCATCCATGGCCTCGAAGTCTGTTTCCGAGACACCCGTCAAAGCAATGAATGTCTCGGCGACGGCCTCGAAGTCTACCGCTGGAAGTGCTTCCGAAACTCTATCCGAAGTAGAGTCGGAGTCGGACAACACCTCATTCGTAGTGCCGGCCTCTGTGTTTGGAAGCGCTTCGGACTCATCCATGAAAGCCGCGGACACCATGAATACCACGGCTGAGACATCGGTGTTCTCGAAGCTGATCGCCGGCTGTTTCATGGATACGCCCGTCAAAGAAGCGGACAACACGTCCACCGATGTCTCGTCGATGGCCTCGCAGTCGTTCAATGGATGCGATGCGGAGTTCACTCGTGAGGACGTGGAGGAAATGACAGCACATGTCTCAGCCATGGCCTCGAAGTCGTTCGCTGGAAGTGTCGCCGAGACGTCGACCCAAGAAGTGGACCAAATGGGAGCCGATGTCTCAGCGATAACCTCGAAGTCGTTCGATGGAAGCGTTGCCGAGACTTCCACTCAAGACATGAATACTATTCCCGAAGAGGACGAGGACATGGAGGTCGAGGTGAACGCCGAGGACTTGCTGTCATCGTTTGCGTTCAAGAGTTCCGCCACTCGTGAGGAGGAGTCGTACGTCAAGACCAGCGCTTCCGTGAAGTTCAACACATCGGTGCGCGTGAGGACTACCACCGAAGGCCAAGGATCTCTAGACAGGGAGACGCCTATGAAGTGCGGCGACAGTACCACCGGTTCCATCAGTCGCGTACAGACGCCATACAAATCACACACGAGTCTCGCCGACAGCACTTCCATCGACACTCCCATCGGTCTCAACAGGACGTCACTCAACGACACCGCCGATGACTACAACACTCCACTCAAAGACATAAATCAGTCCATGAGATTCGATACGCCATTAACGGAGGACATGGAGGCCATGGAAGGGGTGGTCGAAGTGAACGCCCAGGACTTGCTCTCGCGGTTCGAAACCATGGGCTCATCCACTCGTGAGTTATCGCTGACGAAGACTACCACTTCCTCGAGAGGTAACACTTCGGTGAAGTTCAACACATCAGTACGCGTCAGGACTACCACTGACGAGACGGCGCCTATAGATAGGGAAACCCCTATGAAACCGGAGAACAGTACCACCGGTTCCATCATTAGAGTCCAGACGCCACTCAAACCACCCGTGACTCCGCTCATGGATCAGTCTCTCGGTGACAGCGCCTCCGAGACTCCGCTCATCGATAAGAGTCGTATGGATGGCGACGACACGAACACCACACCATTCAAAGGCAACGCCCGTTCCCTACGAATGGATACACCAGTGAATGAGGACATGGATGTCGAGGAAATGGCCGATGAAGTGATCAACAAGACTGCCGTCGACGACAAGACACCACTGAAAAGCACTAACCATTCAGTGATCACTGAAACGCCGCTTAAGGAGGACAGGGATCCGCTGGAAGTGACGGGTCTCGAAGTGAATGCACAGGACTTGCTGTCGCCGTTCGATATTAACAAAACGATGGGAATGGGAGCCCAGGAAGTGGACGTTCCCATCACGCAGTCGCTGATTGGTCTGAACTGCTCGACCACTGGCCGCCCGTTGACTCAATCGACACCGCAGTTCAAGTCGAGAATACCTAAGCCTAAGGCCAGTACTCGGGTGTCGACCCCGCGATACCTGTCCGCCAAGAAGTCCGTTACTAAGCCTGTGAGTGTCAGCGAGCGTAGCCGTCGATCGTCACAGTCGGCTACCGGTGCCGCCGGTAACGACACCTTCGTTGACGGCGCCGCGGAGACATCCATGAGCTCAATGGCCGGCCGTACGTCTCGACACGAGACGTCATTTGGTTTGCAGTCCATCGCCGAGAGTCCCGCCAAAGAGGTGGACAGTCCTGTCAAAGGGACAGACACTCCAATCAGACGTCAGTCCACTTTCACGAAACTCGATGCCTCCCAACACCTGACGCCTATCATAGAGTCGCCGGCAGTGGTGGTGACGGCGGCGGCCATGGAGTCCACAGCTCACGAGGAACTGGATGCCGACGCTATGACCCCAGTGGTGGGCATCGAGTCCACCGCTCGTGAGGAACTGTATGTCAACACTAAGACTCCATTCAGAGGCAACACTTCGGTTAAGTTCAATACATCCGTACGCGTGAGGACTACCACCAAAGGCATGGCACCGGTAGACAGGGAAACGCCTATGAAGTGCGACGATTCGATTGGTGGCGCGAACACCAGTGCCATCGCCAGAGCGCAGACACCTCTCAAACCCATGACTCCAGTCGTGAATAAGACACTCGAAGTGAACGCTTCCGTCACACCGGCGCTCAATAAGAGTCGTATGGATACTGAGGGCAATGGCACGCCATTCAAAGGCAACACCCGTTCCCTACGAATGGATACACCAGCGAATGAGGACATGGATGTCGAGGAACTGGTGTGCAATGAGACGACGACGCCGGGAGTCAGAGCTAACGCGTCGGTGAAGTTCAACACATCGGTGCTCGTGAGGACTACGGGTAAAGGGATGGCACCGGTAGACAAGGAGACGCCTATTAAGTGCGACGACTCGGTGGTGGCCAACAGTACCATCGGTTCCCGAGCGCAGACACCGCTCAAAGACATGACTCCACTCATCAATAGGACTGTCGATGATAGCGGCGCCGACACTCCAGTGGCCGACAGGACTGTCACCGAAACGCCAGTTAAGGAGGACATGGATGTCACGGGAATGTCGGACAAAGTGGTCGAAGTGAACGCTAAGGACCTGTTATCGCCGTTTGGGTTCATTAGGTCGGCGCGAGACGCGCCGGTAGGCGACGTACCCATCACTATGTCGCTCGTGGACCTCAACACTACTACCCGTCCATTAAGGCAGTCGACGCCGCGATTGCCGTCCAAGACGTGCAAACCTAAGGCCTCGACCCTCAGCGCCCGACCCCTCAGAGGCCTGGGATCACCCGCCCGGCCATTGAGCGCCCGTAAGAGTCCACGACTGTCCACATTGATGACGACGTCCCGCAACGACTCGGGCAGCGACTCGACCCTCGACTTCATACTCAATGAAATCAAATGCAATGATAGCGACGATAATTGCGAGTCGTTTCTCATGAATGACAAACAGTTGGTGTGAAACTACCGGTGCGTTCGACTGACTGTCTCAACATTAAATATTATGTATTATACAGTATATCAGACATTATATTACCGTATATTACGGCGAGAATCCATACAATTAATTAGTTAATTAACCATTTCTTACAGCGATTTATACATAACATTGTAATTAATATATCGAAACACAAATTAAACACACATTTCAATGGCTTTTTAAATACAGATTTTTAATGACTTTTTTT